TTTTGTGCCAATACCATGCTGTCTTGATTACAGCTTTGTAATGATAGGCTAAACTATCATTTCAGAGATGCAGCAAATGAAATAAAAGTAGACTTTTAAAAGAGAATATCTTAAATATCAATTGGCATTAGAAAACATATTAACAGATTGACTTCCTTGATTTTGAAATTTGTGTGTGTGTGTGTTGTTTTCCTTATTTACTCTACAAAAAAAAGGAAGATCCAAGACTGAAAATTCCAGCTCATCTGAGAGGAAAGACATCACTTGATTCTTCCAATGATCTGGGGCCTTTACCTGTAAGTTTGTAGAACTGCTAGCCGTCTAACTTGGCTGTCTCCAGCGTTTCGTAGTTTGGAATACAGTAGTTCTTTCACAACTATAAGTAATGTTATTTTAAAGTGTTGATGCCTTCTATGAAGAATGGAATATGGAAATTAACTGTGTAACCAATGCTGTTTTTTTGCCCATACATCTAAAACCCTTTTCTAAAATAATTGAAATACACTCTTCATTATAGCCAGGATGGGAAGAAAGAACTCATACAGATGGAAGAATCTTCTATATAAATCACAGTATGTGCAATATGATTTTTTATTACATTATTTTTTGTAGTATTTAATGTTGCACAAGATAATAAACAATATGTTTTTTCTCACCTTCTTCAGATATAAAAAGAACACAATGGGAAGATCCCCGGTTGCAGAATGTAGCAATAACTGGACCAGTAAGTCTCTTTGTATGGGTATGCTCTGATGGGATTGTCCTCTCACCTGTCTTTTCAAGGGTGAATGGTCAAGGACATGATCCTATAGACTTTGAGAGGAAAGCACGTCTGCAATTCTGTCCTCTCCCACCACCCCCCACTCCAGGTCTCAATGGTTTGAAAAGAGGTATAAACTCATTGTCCTTACCCTTGCAATACACTTAGGAGACTAGTGAGCCAGGTAGTCAAATGCCAAGGCAGTGGGCCCCTGTCCTCAGGCTGGTACTTGCCACTGCCTGAAAGAGAATGTTGGCAATCCTCAGCAGATCAGAGAGGAGCCAAGAATGTGCCAGGGGAGAAAGTAGACAGCACCCTATCAACTCCAAAGGCATGTCTTGAACTTTTTGGTAGAAATTACTGTAAATACTGGCATGTAAAATACTTACATTCAAGTATAAATATTATTGTGTATGATGTTTATACTGCTCTTCAGTCAGTTTAATGATAAGAGAGTCATTTTCTTCTTTTATATAGCTACTTATTCCATTTTTAGTTTTGAGATCTTCATTATTTTCTAGTTCACAAAAACAAGTGAAATTGAATATCCTGTTCTTTCAGACTACTCTTTAGTCTCCATGTTTAGTCTTTTTAAATAATGGGTAAAAAAGGCAACTCCTCAGAGTTCAAGGAAAAAGTACATTTTTCAAATTGTTCCCTTAATGGAGAAATCACTTTGAAGGTCTCTTTAGAAATGGAAATTTTCATTTCTAATATTTCTCTACTTGGAAGAAATTTCCTGTTTCTGGCTTTTTGCATTTCAAGAATATTGCATGATGAAAATTACAGCCGTGGGAATTGCTGAATACAATTTAATCTTAAACAGAGAAATTAAAATTTTTAAGGTTTTGTATTTGTTTTTCTGCAAATTAAACTTTTTCTTTCCAAATATTCTCTTTTAATGCCTTTAACTTATGTTCATAAAATATCCAGAGGGGAACTTTTAAAATTGTTCCAGAATAAAAACAACCTAAACCTTTTTTATTCTTCCAAAATTTTCAACTCAAGGCAGTGCCCTACTCCAGGGATTACAAAAGAAAGTATGAGTTCTTCCGAAGAAAGTTGAAGAAGCAGGTTAGTTATATTTATATTGAGTTCTTGGGAATGATTGTTCTGTACACTGAAAGTGTGGGACATGCACTTTTAAAGGTAAAAATAGAGAACTTATTCTCTATTTTAACAACTTTGAATAGTTTCTTATGTGGAAAGCTTGCTTTTTCTTGACTACTCAATGTTACATATCATTAGAGACCACAATTATATTGCTTCCTTATTTTTCAAGATATCTTGTAATATAGAACAATAGTATTAAAGTTTGCTCTTAAAGAGCTCTAACCTGGTTTCCTAGTGGGGTTTGTGGAGCTTGGGATTCAATCTGAGCAAGAGCAGTTCAGGAGATGATCCCCCAGCCTGGTCTCTGATTGTGTAGGAGGGATCTCTAGATTCCTTTTCTGCTTGGACTGTTGTTTTCCAGGGACAGTTATTCATTCCCTACAACTTCAAATACAACCTACCTCTTCAAAATTTGAAAATACAACTGTGATTGAAACAGTGCTCTTGTTGCTGGTCTCCTTCTGCTTATCAGATGTGTTTAGTATACTTTTTTTTCCATCACTACAAATTTAATATTTGGAACTAAACTCATCATCTGCCCATCTATTTCATTTCTGTCGGTGATGACCGTTTTGTAATGCCTTTCTAATTTGCTCATACTTTTCCCCTTTCCCTGCAGTTTAGGAATACTGCCACTAGGTGGCTATATTGGGTTACACTTTCTTGCGTTCTAAGCCGGAAGCCTGCTTTTCCAAAGATTCAAGATGGTGGGTCTGCTACCACAGATTTTTTCATCCAAAACTTAACAAAGAATGAAATATAATAGTTGTTTCGTGAAAATATTTTGTGTCTTAATTAAAGCCTAAAACATCAGCAACTTTTTAAATTCATCTTCAATACTGACTGTGTAAAAATTCCTCTGGAAATTTGTCTTCTACTTCTTAAAATTCTTTGGGATATTAAGACTGTTGATCTATTGGTCTGGTAAATATTTTCACTCTTAATGAAAATGTGCTGATAGAATAGAAGCTCTAGCTTCTCCACTTGCCGCTCTGAACTCTTTCAAATATGTTACAGTATCTAACTGTTGACGTCTTCCAGGCAGCAGGAGATATGGAACAAAGCCTTCATAAACAGGTCACAGAACACAGAAACCACAATGAAAGCAGTAATACTTATTAGGCTCTCACTGCATATCAGACATTCTTCTTAGCAATTTACATGTATTCATGTAAAATCTATACTAACTGTATAAGGAAGGGACTGTTATTATCACATTTTGTAGGTGACTAAACTGAGGCACAGAGAGATTTGGTAATGTGATCAAGTCCCATGGTAATTAGTGGCAAAGCCAGACAAGTGGTCTAGCTCCACAGTCCGTGTGCTTGATCAAAATTACATATATTGGTGATTGAGAGAGAAAGTTACCCAGAATGCAACAAAGGCATATAAAGAGATAAAAACATGAAAGAAAGGTTAAGAAACATGGAGTTATTCCAGAAGGAGAGACTCAAGAGCATGAGGAAGAGTCTAAGAACCTGCATCCTTAGTTTATCAAAAAGTCCCTAGTAGGATTTAAAAAATAAAATTCGTATCAGACACGTTACAGCAAAAGAGCAGAACACAAAACAAAAATGTTTAAAAACTATCGCTACAAAGCCCTGAGTTGTCTTTAACCTTTTCCTCTTACCATCTCGTTAGTTAGGAACAAGGGTGGCTAATCATTATTGAGCTCACCACGTGCCAGATACCAACTAAGCACATGAAATGCATTATCCCATTAAGTTCTGAAACAGCTCCATGGGATGACTATTATTATTGTCCCAACTTACAAATGAGGAAATTAATCCTAGAAAAGATATGTGAAATGGAGCTGGGATTTGAACACCAGGCCCTGACCCCAGAATCCACACCCTGGTCCACTACTCAGCCCAAACAGGGAAGTTGCTCCTCCTGCCGTCTGTCTCTTCCATTGCCATCCCTCTCTGACACGGTCTGTTTCAGGGTCCTTAACTGATTGGTGTGCCTCTTGTCTCTCCTTTTATTTTATCCGCCCCCCAAAAAATTTTTAAGTTTATTTTGAGAGAGAGCACACAAGCTGGAGTGGGGGAGAGGTAGAGGGCTGTGGAGAGAAGGAATCCTAAGCAGGTTCCACTCTGTCAGTGTAGAGCCCACTGTGAGCCTTGAACTCACAAACTGTGATATCATGACCTGAGCTGAAATCAAGAGTCCAATGCTTAGCCCACTGAGCCACCCAGGCACCCGTTGTCTCTCCTTTTAAAACCACCCTCTACTCGGCCCCGTCAGCCTCTGAGAACAATCTGATCTTGCAACCCCCTGCTCAGCAGTTTTCCCAGTCAGCACCCCTGCTTCCTACACTCTGACCCCAGGTGACTTTTCACCTTCTCTTCTCACTGCAACCCCTTCCCTCCTTTCTGCTCCCTCTCGCTGTTAAATACATGAGACTCCCCTGTGTGCTCTTCCCTTGGCCTGCTGCTCCTCAGGCCTTCCCTCCCTCTCCCTCTCCCTCTAGTCAGGACTTGCTCTTAAAGCCTCCTGGATCACCTCCCTTGCAATTAATATAGCTCAGTCTTTTAGGTCCCACCAAACATGGCTTATATCTTTATTATTAGCAATTTTCTTACTCTTGCAAGTCTCAGGATTAGTAACATTTACATTTGTCTCTCACACACAATTATATACTCCTTGGATTATAAACTCCTTGAGGAAGGAACCATATCTTATACCACATTTTTATTCTTTTTACCTCCCATCCCCATTACCATAGCTACATAGCATGCGGTCTGGCCCAGAGCATGCGGCTGCCCAAGAGCAGGCCCTCAGTAAATGCTAGGCTGCACAGATGCCTAGTGTCTAGTCTAAAAGTGTTTTTCCCCAATATTGCCTTTATTTTTAAATGCGTAAGCAGCAGAGGAAACTGCCTATATTATGCTCATATTGCTTATAAAAACTGCCTATGTTACTATGTTTCTGTAGGGCTTTCCATTTTCCCTAAACATCTTAAGAGTGAAATTGATTTTTTTTTCCATTAGAATAAACTCTCTTGCCTTTTTTTGAAGTGACAAAATTTCCTCTTATGGGTTTCCACTTGAACATTGTTCACAAAGCACTCAAGAGTGAAATATTCATATATCTTTTTATAAAATTTACAGTAAGATCTGCCTAAAAGCATAGTTATCTACATTTGTCACATAAGAAAAGGACATACAAAAAAATCAATGAGACAGCAGAGCCTTGAGAGCTAAGACTTTCTTAACTTCTGTCTTCAGTTTCTTCATCCATAAAATGGAGATTATATTAATAGCTTCTTCATTGTGTTGTTATGAGGAGTAAATGAGTTAACCCATTAAAATGCTGGGAACCATGCCTGGGACAGTCTGTAAATGTTAGTGCCTATTAATGAGTGTGGCAGGAGAGGCTCCAAGGAAGAAAGGTGGAAGTTGGGAAAAACCCTGAACCAACGGGCAGGCAGCAAATAGCAGGCATTGGGTAGACTGTAGGTCGCAGGATGGTATTGGAACTTAATATAGAAACGACTGCTCATGAAATGCCTTCATTGTGAGCATTATTGCCACTATCAGTAACTGCCTCTTCCAGTATAAAAATCAAAAGTCTATATTGTTATGTAATTAGAGAAAAATGTGTGAATTCTTTTATACCATAAAGGAAATATGAGGCAATATTCCTAGTCATGTGTTCCCTAATAAAGGGTCTTGGGCACAAGGTAGAACACAATGATTTTATTTCCATGAGAAATAAATTTGCCATCATGTTGAATTGATTTAAAGCATAAGTCTCTCTTCTCTGGGTTTTCAGAATGACATTCCAAACAAATTTGAAATGAAACTTCGCCGTGCAACTGTCCTTGAGGACTCTTACCGGAGAATTATGGGTGTCAAGAGAGCAGATTTTCTCAAGGCTAGACTGTGGATTGAGTTCGATGGTGAAAAGGGATTAGATTATGGAGGAGTGGCCAGAGAATGGTTCTTCTTGATCTCAAAGGAAATGTTTAACCCTTATTATGGGTTGTTTGAATATTCTGCTACGTAAGTATCTTCACAATAACTGTATTCACAATGACAGAAAAAAAAAATCACCTGGGTGGCTCAGTCAGTTGAGCATCCAACTCTTGATTTCAGCTCAGGTCATAATCCTGGGGTCATGGGATAGAAGAGCCCCTCATCAGGCTCTGCACTGTATGTGGAGCCTGCTTGGGATTCTCCCTCTCTCTCTGCTCCCCTCCCCTGCTCGCTTCTCTCTCTCCTCCTCTCCCCTGCTCACACCCTCCTTAAAATATAATTTAAAAAAAAAAATGAAAGTAACAAAGAGTTCTATGATGCAAGGAAATGTGTGTTACAATGTGCCAGAAAGGGGAGACTATAACTAATGTTGTTTCAGAAATAACTCTGTAAAAAACTGTGGTAAAATATGCATAACATGAGATTTACCATTTTAACCATTTTAAGTGTGCAGTTTAGCAGCATTAAGCACATTCACAAGTTTGTGCAATTGTCACCACCATCCATCTCCTGAACTTTCTCATCATCCCAGACTGAAACTGTACCCATTAAACACTAATTCCCTTGTTCCCTGGAAGTCACCATTCTGCCTCTGTCTCTGTGAATTTGACTACTCTAGGTACTTATTTAAGTGGAATCATACAGTATTTTTCCTTTTGTAACTGACTTATTTCATCAGCATAATGTCTTTAAGTTTCATCCACAGCATAGCATATTTTCTTTCTTTTCGAGGCCCATTACATGAGAGGAATACCACATTTTGTGTATCCATTCTTCTATTGATGAACATTTGGGTTGTTTCCACCCTTTGACAGAAATGACTATTTTTAAAACCATTAAATCCAGTGGTCTAATGTGGTTCTAATAGAGGTAAACAACTCCAAAAAGAGAGAGCTAATTTATAATTATTTGTCATATTAAAATTTTTATATGAAGTGTGGAGAGGAGCATTTAAACGTGGCTGTCTTTACAGGGATAATTATACCCTGCAGATAAATCCAAACTCTGGATTGTGTAATGAGGATCACCTCTCTTACTTCAAGTTTATTGGCCGGGTAGCGGGAATGGCAGTTTATCATGGCAAACTGTTGGATGGTTAGTATTAAGCATAAAACTTTTTTTTTTAAGTAAAATTATCTTATTTCTTTCATTTGGTAATCATTTTTCAATATATTTGATTTTTTTGAAAGGTTTTTTCATCCGCCCATTTTACAAGATGATGCTACACAAACCAATAACACTTCATGATATGGAATCAGTGGTATGTCTTTTTCACTTATAATGTGGACAAAGTATGATTTAACAAGCAACTGGTTATTTTAAAGTTAGAATTTAATGATGAAATTAAGATTATCGTGTTCTAAATTATAAACACATATTTTCCCCAACATTCTGTTATGAAAATTTTCTAACACATAATAAAAGTTTAAAAATTTTACAGTGGACAGGGGCACCTGGGTGGCTCAATTGGTTGAGCATCTGACTTCGGCTCAGGTCATGATTTCATGTTTCCTGAGTTCAAGCCCCACATCAGGCTCACTGCTGTCAGCTCAGAGCCTGCTTGATATCCTCTGTCCCCTCTCTCTCCCCCTCCCCCACTTAAGCTCTCTCTCTCTCTCTCTCTCTCTCTCTCTCTCAAAATAAATATTTAAAAAAATTTTTATAGTGGACATATGTGCACCACCGCCAAGATTCCATACTTGGCTTATTTTATTACACATCTGTCCATCAGTTCACCCATGTGTCCATCAATCCATCTTTTTTTGTTTTTTGATGCATTTCAAATAATGTTACAATATCAGTAACTTCTCCCTAATTACTTCAATGTGCTATATACAACAAGTTTATGTATTTCTTGCATCAACATTTGAATTGTGGTCTTTTATAATAAATGGAGTATGTTTTCAAAATGGCAGTCCTTGTGGTTAGGCCACTATAAAGAAATGGAAACCTAAGGATTAAAGCCCTGACTATAGCCTTGCTACCTGTACTGAATAGCCTCATATACTGTGTGTACACACGGATTCCAAGATCTCTTCTTGGGTACCAAGTACATTTTTGATTCCTTTCTTAGGACACCTTATCAAGGTGGATGGTGTAATTCCTTATGACTCATAAGATTTTGGTTATTTGAGTTGTCTAATTGAGGTTCTGTATTTAATTTGAGGTTTTTCTTTAACTTGGGCCGGGTATACATAACAACTTGCTCATAGCTTCTTAAACAGACTCTCAATTGGCCATATGAGAAAGGTGCTAAGTGCTCCTGGGTATCCATGGAAGTTAGTATTCATCAGAAAACCATTTTATTTGACGCTTCAACTCGATAATAAAATCTGTACCTCTGCTGCTGCTACATAGAAATAGATTTTCAAACTTTCAAACTGGGCATCACTCAGAGGCGCCTGGATGGCTCAGTTGGTTAAGCATCTGACTCTCTCTTTTTTTTTTTTTTTTTTTTTTTTATTTATATATGAAATTTATTGTCAAATTGGTTTCCATACAACACCCAGTGCTCATCCCAAAAGGTGCCCTCCTCAATACCCATCACCCACCCTCTCCTCCCTCCCACCCCCCATCAACCCTCAGTTTGCTCTCAGTTCTCAACAGTCTCTTAAAGCATCTGACTCTCGATTTCGGCTCAGGTCATGATCTCATGGTTTGTGAGTTTGAGCCCTGCATTGGGCTCTATGCTGACAGTGCAGAGGTTGCTTGGGATTCTCTCTCCCTCCCTCTCTCTGCCCCTCTCCGCTCATGCTCTCTCTCTCTCTAGTTACTGCATTCTTTTTATAACACGTATGTATAGGAAAAGATGTCCTACTGACTTTTCATCTTTTGTCCAAGTATTCAGATCCTCAGCATACTTTGTTTCCAGGTTCATGGGTTTTCTTGTTATGTACAAATTTTAAATATGCAATTTCCTCATCTAGGATAGTGAATATTACAATTCACTAAGATGGATTCTTGAAAATGATCCAACAGAACTGGACCTCAGGTTTGTCATAGATGAAGAACTTTTTGGACAGGTTTGTAAATTTTGATTAATTAAAATGGTACATAAATTTTGAAACAAATGTTATAACTCAAGTTTAGAAGTTAAATAATTCATATTCTCAACACATTTCTGTGCTCTGTTTTTAAATTTATTTTCCAGTAACAAAAGCTGTCTCAGCAAGAATTTCTGCTTTCTTTGACATTTGACTCATTCCATGTTTATTTTAGTAAAACTAATATTTTAAGTTTTCTTAGCTTGTGAATGGATTTAATTTAAAACACTGTGTTTCTGGTATAACTATGATATGTATATTTTATTTTTTTTCACTAAAATAACATATCAAGATATCATGCTTAATTTCAGACACATCAACATGAGTTGAAAATTGGTGGATCAGAAATCGTTGTCACCAACAAGAACAAAAAGGAATATATTTAGTAAGTATTTTGTTAGTAAGTATTTTATTATATTTAGTAAATACTTTAATGGAAATAACTTTGTAGTTCTTTGTGGGAAGACCTTTTGTATCTTCTTTCTCTTTCTTCCTTCATCACCAGAGTCTCAGTGTTCTTTTTTCTCTTTCTATTACAATGCCATATTATCCACTCATAATCACTTTTTTGCCTTGGGCTTACCTAGCCTTTAGTTAGTTAGTTAGTTAGTTAGTTAGTTAGTTAGTTTCCAGCTGGAATAAATATACCTTAAATTTTTTCCTTGGTTCATGTGAAAAAAATGAAATGTTTTGTTTCTTTTTAGTCTTGTAATACAGTGGCGATTTGTAAACCGAATCCAGAAGCAAATGGCTGCTTTTAAAGAGGTATTCATTTACTTTCGTTTGTTCTTCTGTAATTTTAAAGTAAAATTCAGAAGTTTCAAGTATTGGGGCCCACCATGTCTGGGAAGAATTAATAGATGACTGGCTTTTAAAAACAATTTTTCATTGTATTTTTATATTAAAAATATTAAAATGAACAGATGTTCACTGTTAAAACTCAGTCATTCAGGAAGTCCCTACAGTTAACATTGACAATCCCCCTTCATGTCAGTCCCCACTTCTCATCTTTTCCCAGTCATGACTGCTGCATCTTAAGCAATCTTAGGTGAATAAGAGTCAAGAGTGGGGAGTGGGGAGGGGCACCTGGGTGACTCAGTCAGTTAAGCGGCTGAGTTCAGCTCAGGTCGGGATCTCATGGTTTTTGAGTTCGAGCCCCACATCAGGCTCTGCAGTGACAGCATGGAGCCTGCTTTGGATCTTCCCTCTCTCTCTCTCTCTGCTCCTCCCCTGCTCGCACTCTCTCTCTCTCAAACGTTAAAAAAAAAAAAAAAAAAAAAAAAAAAAGACTGCTGTAGGGATAGTGGAATATGCCACCTATTGTCCTACACGGGATCACACTATACATGTTGGTTTGTGACTTGCTTTCTTCTCTTATCAAATATTTATTGGAGATCCTTACATGTCAAGATGCATAACTACCCTTCCTTGTGCTTGGGGCTGCATTTTATTCGTAATGTAAATTCGTAAGTTATTTAAACCTCCCCCATTGGTGGACATTTAGGCTATTGTCAGTGCACTCATTTCTTAAACTAACTTAAAATCTTCTGTTACATATTCATCAAGTACTTTTTTAGTTTGTTCAGTATCGAGCACCCACTATGTGTGTGGTGCTGCACAAGGCAGAAAGACATAGGTCCTGCTTTAGGGGACAGCGCATCTGGAGTGAAGTGGACAGAGGCAAGCCTGATGTGCTTGGTAAGCACAGGGGAGAGCTGGAAAAGGGAAAGAGGAGGTGCAGGAAGGGATAGGGAATGCCTAGAGGACCTGGCCAGCCGCACAGAAGAAGGCAATGCAGTTCTAAACACAACGAATGGCACATGTAGTCTGGCAATAAGACAGACTGTGCACATGTTAGAGAAAATGCCAGCAATTCAAACACTGTTGAGGTGATACAGGAGGTAGAACTAAGCTGGAGAGCTGAGCAATAGCAGGTTATGAAGGGTCTCTTTGCTAAACTGAAAACAGATGGAATTTGGGGTTTTTGTGGAAGGCGAATGAGGGGAACGAAGGTGGCATTAAAGGCTGTTCTCCAGTAAAACAGCAGGATTCAGTTTACATTTTAGACCATTCTGGAAGTGGTGGGTAGTGAGTTAGA